TCCCTCCTCCAGCGGGTGGCTGTGGCACCCCAACCCCATCACCCCCCACCCTGCCCTGCTCTGCCCGTTCCAGCCCGTGCAGCCCCGCCAGGATTCCAGGGAAAACCTGCACCTGGAAGGTGCCAACAACAACCCCAAAGCCTCCCAGTTCAGGAACTGGTGATGGGAACCACGGGGTCAGTATCACCCCGGCGGGCCCAGCAGCTCCTGCCACCTCCACCAGGCAGAGCAGCCAGCACGGGTGAGCAGGAACCAGCGGGAATTTGGGGCTGGAAAGGGAAGGGGGAGCAAGAGGGCAGTGCCCACCCCCCAGGCACAGGGAGCTGGTGCCCACTGTGCACAGCTGCTCCTCACAGCCAGGAGACACCACCCGAGGCTCCCACAGGCCTGGATCCCCGGGAGCCCAGCTGGCACCAGCAGCCAAGCTTCTCCTGAGCATCCCAAACACCTGCCTGTTGGGCACGGGACGGCGGGAACAGTTCCCTGCAGCGTGGGAAAGGCAGTGTCCCCAGGGCTCCAGTGTCCCCAGGGCCCCAGTGTCCCCAGGGCCCCAGTGTCCCCAGGGCCCCAGTGTCCCCAAGGCTCCAGTGTCCCCAGGGCTGTCCCCACCTCTGCTGCAGGCTCTGGGGAGAGGTGACACCCCCAGCAAAGGTCACATTCCCAACGGTGGGAATTGCAGCCCCTGGATTTGGTCACACCTGGAAGCTTGAGGGAAAACCCTGTGTCTGGGCACAAAAGCAGCGGGTTTGGGCCAGGGGGTGACAAGGCAGGTGCTGCCAGGTGTCCTTGGTGGCACCGGGGTGCCCAGAGGGACCGTGCTGGCACGTGGGGACACGTGGAGCTAGGTGCCAGCAACGGGTGTCCCACCGGGGGCAGCTCCTGGTCAGATCCAAGGGGGACACGGCGGGGACCAGGAAGCACCTTCGTGACACGTGGGGACCCAACCCTGTCCCACTGCTCCTTCCCACGGGGACACCGAGGGCACAGGGGGATCAGCCAGTACCCGGGAC